GGCAGAAAAGGCCTGCTAGGGCTTGAAGCTGAGCCTCAGAAGTAGATTAGGTCGACTGTACAATGTTGAGGGAGTTTGTGGGGAAGCAAAGACACAGAAGTGAGCGAGGGTGGTATGCTTAGGGATTCCAGTTCAAATCACCTAGAGCATAGGGGGTGGGGTGAAGCACACTAAATGAGTGACGCAGGGGCAACCTCACAGACCCTCACATTGTACCCTAGGTCTGCAGGTACACAGTATATGGAAGGAAAGGTCGGAGGCAGAGCCAGCACTAGAGGGGAGACAGGGTTTTAAGAAGGGTTGGAGAGGCATAAACTGGCTTCTGTCTGATGAGATCATCCCAGAGGAAAGCTTGATGTGAAATGGAGGCAGTTAGAGCCGTTCTCAACTGCTGTTCCATTATACACTGTGACGTCCCTTGGAAACTCGTTTTAAAAAAGTATTTGCCTATGTTGCTGGGTTTAACGTCCTGATTTAAAATAAAGAAAAAAAAACCTTTCATCTCTACATTAATAGGTGAGCTTGGCCTATGATTTTCTTTTCTTAGATTGCCCTGGTTCAATTTTAATATCAAGGTAAGACTATCCATAGATGACTTAGATTGCTTTTATTCTCTTTCTAGAGTTGAAAATGGATTTATAATAGAAAATCCTATCTTTTCCTTGAAGGATTGGTTAAATCACCTAGAAAACCATCTAGGCTTGGATTTTTTTTTTTTTTTTTAAGACAGGGGGCTGGGGGCAGGGCCAGAGGGAGAGAGAGAGAGAGAGAGAGAATCCCAAGCAGGCCTGGTTCAGAGCCCAATGCGGGGCTCGATCTCACAACCATGACATCATGACCTGAGCTGAAATCCAGAGTCAGACACTTAAACCACTGAGCTACCCATGTGCCCCTAGGCTCACGTTCTTTAATTTTGAGGAAGGAGGAAATTTTCATCTACTCATTCAACTACTTTAATGGTTACTGGATTATCCAGATATTCTATTTTTTTCTTCATTCAATTTTATAATTTATACATTTCTATAAAATTGTCCGGTTGATGGCAAATCTCTTTATTTTCAAAATTATCTGCATGAAGAAGCACAAGAATATTTGGGGAGATGGAAATATTCTGTATCTTATTTGTGGAGGTGGGTTCACAGATATGTCAAAACTTACCAAGGACACCTGGTGGCTCAGTTGGTTAAATGTCTGCCTTTGGCTCGGGTCATGATCCCAGAGGCCTGGGATCGAGTCCCGTGTCGGGCTCCCTGCTCAGCAGGGAGTATGCTTCTCCCTCTCCCACTCCCCCTGCTTGTGTTCCCTCTCTCTGTCAAGTAAATAAATACAATCTTTAAAAAAAAAAAACCAAAATGAAAACAAAATCTTAACCAAATTGTGGTGTGGACTGTAAAATATATTTTTGTTTTCCCTTATTGTAATTTTTGTATTGTAACTCTTTATTTTATTTTATTTTATTTTATTTTATTTTATTTATTTATTTGACAGAGAAAGAGACAGTGAGAGAGGGAACACAAGCAGGGGGAGTAGGAGAGGGAGAAGCAGGTTCCCCACTGAGCAGGGAGCCCAACGCGGAGCTCGATCCCAGGACCCTGGGATCATGACCTGAGCAGAAGGCAGACGCCCAACGACTGAGCCACCCAGGCGCCCCTAATTTTTGTATTGTAAATACATGCAGTTCATAGTAAATAGGTTATACCTCATAAGCTGTTTTACATTTATCTGCAGGAAATTATACAAAGTATTTTTTGTGATTTTTAAAAATTCTATCTTTAGACATGTTCTCTTGTCTTAATATCGTTTATTTGGGTAATCTCTCTTCTTCGTGAATCTTGTTGAAGGTTTGTCCATTTCATGATCTTTTAAATAACTAGCTCTGTGGGAGAATGCTCAGCATTCTTGCTTTCTTGATCTATCTGCCATGGTGCCTTGGCACCTCCTCCCCAGCCTCTCACCTCCTCCCCAGCCTCTCACCATTTGTGGGGGCAAATGAGGGCACATAGGAGGTTAGATGACTGGGGGAAGAGGGTACATTTGTGGCAGAAGCCAGCGTTGAACGGATGAGATTCCTTCTTTCAAGGTGTCTAGTGCAGTCAACAGATCAGGCTCAGGAGCTGGGAGGCGGTTTTCCTGTGCAAATTGACATGGCTAAAGTATCATTCTATCTTTGAGAACTCCCCTCAGAATATTTAAAGAGGGCTTAGCTGGCAAGGTGGACACTCATTACCCTTTAGGAACTACATTCTGTCACTTTTGCATTCAGGGCCATAATACTGGCTCTTGGTGCGTGACCCCACCTTCACTGGCAGACTGAACAAAATGGGTAGCTGAATCTGAATATAACACAGCATCAGTTAACTCCTAAATAGTTAATATATTTTACTGTCTTGGAGTTCATGTATTTGTTTTGCCAGCGAAATATATCTGACTAGTTACTTAATGCAATTTATATTGTTCTTTTTATTTGTTGAAAAAAAAAAAACTAGTCTTCTGGATTTGAGGGAGCTAATTATACTTAATTGTTTAATGTAAAAGCTCTATTGCTTTTTATTTTTCTTCTAGTCATCAAATGCATTCTAGAAGAAAATATCATAATATGTGAGACAGACTATTTCAAAATGCAATGCTTATATCTTAATACTAAACATAAGCTGAGGAAGTAATATCCCTATTAAAAGTATATTCAGAGTTGCCACTCAGTTGTCTTGGAGCTTTATTCAAAATAAGCAGGTGTTGTGCAACAGATGTACCAAAAACGTTGTTGAACATTAGTCCCTATCAGTATAAGATAATTACCTGTTTTTGAAAACTTGAAAGGAAAATGTATGTTGTGGATAGGACTTGGTTCCTGACAAAGTCTTACTAAGTAGCCTAATGAGAAATGCACTGTGCTTTTACTGAATGGTGCATCAGCAACAAGGTTATCTTAAATTTGAATTTGACCTCCTGGAATGGGAAAAGGGGGCTGGGGGTGGTGGTGGCAGAAACTTGAATAATCTTGTATCTTGCTTCCTTGTGCTATTTTTCTTTTTATGTAGTTGAACTATCTTCTCTTCATTTTGTTTCAATCTGAGGACAAAAGTTGGAAACTCATCGCTGAAAGCTATTGCATAGTTTGCTCGCGCTGCCATAACAAAGTCCCCCCCAGACTGGGGGACTTGAAAACAGATGCTTGTTTTCTCATGATTCTGGGGGCTTGACATCTGAGATCAAGATGTCTTCAGGCTTGGTATCTTCTCAGGCCTCTCTCCTTGGCTTGTAGAGGTCTGTCTTTTTATAGTGTATTAACGTTCTCCAGATAAATAGGACCAACAGGATGTGTGTGTGTGTGTGTGTGTGTGTGTTTATATAGAGAGAGATATCTACATCTCTACAGAGAAAGAGACAATGAGACTGAGAGATTTACTTTAAGAAGCTGGCTGGCACACTTGTGACTTTAGAAATTTAAAATCTGCAGGGTGGGCTGCCAAGCTGGAGATTGAGGGAAGAGTCCAAAGGCAGTCAAATGGCACAATTCCTTTTTGCTTAGAGGTCAGTCTTTGTTCTAAAGCCTTCAGCTGGGGGCGCCTGGGTGGCTCAGTTGGTTAAGCAACTGCCTTTGGCTCAAGTCATGATCCCAGGGTTTTGCGATCAAGCCCCAGATGGGGCTCCCTGTTCAGCGGGGAGTCTGCTTCTCCCTCTCTTTGCTGCTCCCCCTGCCTGTGTTCTCTCTCCATCTGTCAAATAAATAAATAAATCTTAAAAAAAAAAAAGCCTTCAACTGATTGGATAAGGCCCTCATCTGTTTTACTCAAAGTCCACCAATTTAAATGTTAATCTCATCCAAAAAAACATTTTTGCAAAAAACATCCAGAATAATAGTTTCACCAAGTATCTGGGTACTGATATCCCGGCCTAGCCACATAAAATTAGCCATCAGGTATGGTCTTCCCTCTCTCTCTGTGTCCGAATTTCCTCTTCTTATTTATTTATTTTTTTAAAGATTGTATTTATTTATTTATTTGACAGAGAGAGAGACAACGAGAGAGAGAACACAAGCAGGGGGAGTGGGAGAGGGAGAAGCAGGCTTCCCGCGGAGCAGGGAGCCCGATGCGGGGCTCGATCCCAGGACCGTGGGATCGTGACCTGAGCTGAAGGCAGACGCTTAACGACTGAGCCACCGAGGCGCCCCAAATTTCCTCTTCTTATAAGGACATCAGTCATATTGGATTAGGGCCCGTCCTAATGACCTCATTTTAACCTAAGACTCTATCTCTAAATACAGTCATATTCTGAAGTCTTGGGGGCTAGAACTTCAACACATGAATTTTGAGAGAACACAATTCAGCCCATAATAGCCATTCATTTAAAAGTAAGCATACATAGAAAGACAACTCTAAGGGAAAAAGAGCCCTCCTAACACTGAAAATGTGTTCTGTCCTCTGACATGAGGATAAAGCATGTTTGTGAATACTTAGATAAGCCAATTAACTGGAATGGAAAGTAACTCTTTTATATTCACATTTCTACAATCTAGGAGTCAATTTTGTTTTTCTTTGCCAAGGATATTTCCATTATCACGGTAATTAGAGATCAGATTTTTAAAATGTCTTATTCTGATTATATGTGGATTTCTACCTGTTTTAATTTTGTGCTTTAAAATTTCAGATTAGAGTGCAATGTGTGAAATGTTTTTATCTTGAGTTATGAACTAATTTGAAGTTGCTATTAAAAACAGAGCCACATTTCCGCTTTCTCTGGCAATATAAGAAACAATGGGAAAATTATCAATAAAAATGAAGGGAAACATTAACAAGAGAATATAAAATAAGGACAAATCAGAAAACACATCTTCAAGGCTTCTCTGAAATCATAATATAATCTAACAACATTATCGCTTCTTTTTATATCAGTCCCTTAAGTCACTCATATTTTCCAAAGCTGTTTAAATAAAGGGTAAAATGCTCCTCTATTTCTGATACTGAAGAAATGCTTCTTTTCTCTCTTTTTTTCTTTTGCAGATAACAAGGAGATTTTCCTTTCCAAAGCAATTCACAAGTCCTTCATCGAGGTTAATGAAGAAGGCTCAGAAGCTGCTGCAACCTCAGGTGCCAAGTTATAATTTTCTACAATCTTCTCACCTTTTTTTGATTTGTATTTTTAAAACAATCTTGGGTGAAGAGTGGGGGTCATTTTTAGAACCAAGCTAAAAAAAAAAAACAAAAAAAAAACCTGACTCTGCTCTAACTTAGAAATCAAGCTAATGCTGAACCAGCTAGAATTTTCTAAATAGAATATGAAGCATGCACTTAACTGCAGTGCCCCGATACAGAGTAACTCCCATATCTAATGAGAGGCAGGAGGACACTGGGGGCTCTGTGGAATAGATTTCCCCGCTGCGCTGCCTGTTTAAATATTTTAAGTATTTTCTTGTCGCCCATTTAAACATTCTTCTTCTTACCTAATTACTTGTGGAAACTAGTTCTTTTTTTTTAAGATTTTATTTATTTATTTGAGATATAGAGAGAGAGAACACAAGAGGGGGGAGGGGCAAACAGAGAGGGAGAAGCAGACTGCCCCCTTGAGCAGGGAGCCCAACGGGGCTCGATCCCCGGACCCTGAGATCATGACCTGAGCCGAAGGCAGACACTTCACCGACTGAGCCACCCAGGCACCCCTGGAAACTAATTCTTAATTTTGTCAATGATTTTTTAAAAGCACACACATAAACAAGATGTAATAAATAATTTTAACTGAATAATGCTGATAAAATAATTTTAAATAAATAATTCTAAAATTTTGACCTAAATCATGTGTTCAAAGCAAAATGTTAAATGTCCTTGATTATTCTGAATGTTTTGATTTCCCCAGTTAAATAAGAATGATTTTTTCCAATGATTTTCCCCCCCCGCTTTTTTTTTTGGATCTGTTTCAATCTCATGTTCAACTGCTATGTTCAAATTTTAGTAGGATTTTTCCTTCCTCTGGTAGAATGTAAACTATCATTTTTTTTTTGACTTCTGCATAAATTTGTCCAATAAAAGGATATCACCAGTTAAAACAGTGTTTTCAGGAGGAAATAGAAACACAGTGGTCTTGGGGCATCATGAAAGCTGAAAATCTTACATAATTTAATCTTGACCTTTTCCTGACAATGAATCACCCTGCAGCAAGTATAAAATGATTATCCCATAATAAGGATCTCAGGGGAATGCAGTTTCTCAGCTGTAGGAAACATCATGCTTCTCTTACTGCTGAATTTTCCCTTTCATCACGACCATTCTGGTCACTTACTCGAAGTCTGGTGACTTGCTGTGTAAAAATCCCCATTTTACGCAAAAGGAAATAATGATTTGGGAATATAAGGAAACTTGGTTTTTTGTTTGGGGTGTTTGTTAATTTGCCCCCTTTCCTTAGCTCAAAGGTCATTTTAGTAAAGACATATGTATTTATCTGAAACTGAGAATAAAAATTTTGTAAGAGGTAGAATAAATTTTTCTAGTATTTTTGGTGGAATGGAGGTAGGAAACTGTGTGTGTGTGTGTGTGTGTGTGTTGTGTGTTTAAAGATCAAGTAGAAATGTTACCACCTTTACAATTTTTTCTCTTAAAGTCTTTAAAATTTTGTTTCCTATAAATTGTTGCCTTTGCATTAAATGTAGATGGTCTTGGAGAAATTACTCATTAGTCTCTGCACATCCACAGACATGTAATTGCTTTCTCCCTGCACTGTAGGAATGATTGCAATTAGTAGGATGGCTGTGCTGTACCCTCAAGTTATTGTCGACCATCCATTTTTCTTTCTTATCAGGAACAGGAGAACAGGTAAGTCTGTTATGAGAACAGAACTTTATTTATAGGCCAAAAAGAGATAACTTTTTTAAAATTGAGAGCATTTTTTCCACATTACTTACCAGATAATTTCTAACATTCAAATGATTTTTTAAAAAGAGAATTATTTATATTTTTATTTTTAGAATACTGCTAATTGTAAGCAAGAAGGAAAGTAAACATCCCATTTTTTTGTTCACACCCTGTTTTGTTCACTTCCAACCCAATGCAGGTACAGTCCTATTCATGGGCCGAGTCATGCATCCTGAAACAATGAACACAAGTGGACATGATTTTGAGGAACTTTAAATCATTTCATATGCAAAATAGTAACTAAACACATTATGTTTGCAACTGGTATATTTAAGATTTGTGTTTTACAGTATATCTTATGGTAATATTTAAAAATAGTTCCAGATAAAACAATGTACGTAAATCATAAGCCAAGGAATGTTCTCAGTATTATTGAGGTAATAGTCCCGTGGTGTCATTGTGTCTACTGTGCTGGTATTTAAAATAAAAGTGCATATTGATAATGTGAACAACTCTGTTTTCATTTTACAAATTGTAGTATAAGGATAATTCTAGGTAAAATTTGGAAATGGTAATGTTTTGGGACATCTGAAATCTTTCATAATCAGGCAAAAGCAAAGCCGTGAAGTCAATTTAGCACTATTTATTATGCTTACCGTAATAAAGCAGTAACAGGTCAGATGAAGACAAGCAGTCCTCCAAATTTCTAATTGTTATTTCTCCAGAGATGGTATATAGTGTAGTATACAAGAATATAAACTGAACATCTTCTGTAGGCTCTGTGATAAAACTTGATAGAAAAAAATAGGACTGTGCAAACCCCTAGATTATGGCTATAACGTATTTACTGTCTTTAAAAACTCCCTGGGCTTCAGCAGCCTGATATAGATTAGAAACCTGGTATATCACCGTGTTTTGGTGCTGCTAGTAAAATCCAAATTACAACAAAGTTCCCCAAAGTCCCCAAATAAGCCATATGAGCAAATTAATAATAAAAATATGCCCTTCAATAGGTCGCCAGAAAATTAATGAGAACAACCATACTAGTGCAGATACTGGAAACTGGCAGGTCAGGGGCTGAATGCTGCCCTCAGAGAGGTTCTTGTTTGTCCTTGTGGAAGGTTTTTGTGTTTTGAACTTGAATGTCTGCAATTAGGGTATCACAGTCCTGGTTTCTCCCATTGGTCACCTGATGGCTCTTGGATGCATTTGTGTTTGGGACCCCTAGAGAGTACAGTAAGTACTTTGCAGAATGTATTCGTCTTTTTTCCTAATACAAGAAGTAGTCAATTCCAGTGGAGTCCTACTTCTTAAGGTCGCCAGTAAATGACTTATCCTTTGGCTGAGATAATGATCTTCCTTGGGGCTAGGAGATGGGTGGGGGAAGTTGCTGAGGGAGAAGGATTTCATCAGGTTCCATGAACGGAACCAGGCCCATTTGACACCACATTTCTGATTCTATGATTAATGGTTGCAGAAAAAGTTTGAAACATTTTCAGAACTTAACAGAGACTCTCTTGTGTGTTAGGTATTTTGCTATGATTTGGAACTGTCAACAAGAACTGATATTATCACTAACTTTAATTCTGTTCAGGGGAGTAACCGTTCGGGGAAACCAGGCTTGACCCCAGACCTACTGAATTCTAAACTCTGGGGAAAAACTTGAAAATCTATGTTTTTAACAAGTTCCCTTGGTGATTTTGTTACACACTAAATCTTAAATATCACAAAAATAAAGGATACACATGGAATGCTTACTTACATAGTAGTTGTTTAGATATGGTTAATTTATAGAAAATTAGACCAATCAATAAAGTATCGTAAGGTATCAGAGCTTTTTAAACTTTATGTGTGAGAGAGTAACCTGGGGGATCTTATTAAAAATGCAGATCCTCATTTAGTAGGTCTGGGGTGGGACGTGAAATTCTGCATTTCTCACAAGCTCCCAGGTGATGTGATTGCTATTGGCACATGGACTCAGGTTGGAATCAAAACTTCACATAACATAGGGTTTGCATGTTTGATACTTTTATATGTAGAAATAGGAAAGCTGCATAATATTCATACAGCTTGGAGAGATTTGGGGGTGGGCTAGTAGTCTACATTAAAAATGCAATGCACTTACACAAAAAGAGAAAAAATGGTTTTATTCTAAAGCTTCTTTTTTATGTACGTACTATGGAAAAATGCAGACTTCCTCTGCATATTAGAACACTTGAAATATATTTTTTAAAAATATAGACACATTTATAGGCAATGTGCACAAAAATATTTATGAATACCCAAGGACACAATACTTAACACTGAATCTTTTACAGCTTGTGTTTTCAGAAGACTTATAGTTTATTCATAAAGCTGAGGTTATTGTAGAACAGTGCTCTTGTTTTCATTTATAAGGTACACAGATTGGGCTAACTGTTGTTGATTCCGTATTGATATTCAGAGTTTGTGATATTCTTCGTTACCATATCACTACTTGTTAAGCATTACATACATTGCTATATCTGTATGTCCATCAGTCAACTAAATGAGTTACCTATAAGGAAGAGTAAACATTAGATGAGCATATGAATTTTAAAATGCCCCAAATGCAATTTTTATTAGCCGATATAAGATTAAACTCTATCATCCAGAATGTTTACCTTAACATATTTCAATACAATTTAGATCTCCCTTAAATTAAAATGGATTCTGCCTTGTTATTAGCATGTCTGTGGAATGCATAAAAATAGAATACTTGATAGTACCAGGTTTTTTCTATTGTTTGACTTTGTTTATATTTTTTTAATATCTTCTGCTCTATTAAAAAGGTAACATCTCATAGTTCAGTTCCACTTCCTTTAAAAAGTGTAGTTGATCACACACAGGCACACACACACACACACACATTATACACAGCTTATGGAAATTTCTTTCTCTCTGAATATATATTTTGGGAAGAAATCAACAACAATTATAAATCTTTTGCTTTTAAATCTTTCCACCTTTATTATTGAGGTGTAATTGACAAAACTGTGTATATTTCAAGTGTACAATGAGATTTCATACACATATACAGTGTGAAATAGTCACCACAAATTGATAAACACATCACATTTACTCTCTTAGCAAATTTCAAGCAAACAATATAGTATTCTTAACTACCGTCATCATGCTGTACCTTAGAATCCCAGAACTTTTTCATCTTATAACTTGTTCATCTTTGGCCAATGCCTCTCCATTTCCCCCACCCCCCAGCCCCTGGCAATATCCAGTCTATGAGTTCTACTATTTTTTTAAGATTCCACATTATGAATGAGATCATACAATCTTTGTGTTTCAAATAAAGATTTGGCTTATTTCACTCAGCCATAGTGTCCTGCAGATTCATCCATGTTGTTGCAAATAGCAGGATTTCCTTCTTTTTTATGCCTGAATAATAATCTTTTGTTTATTTGTATATATATGTATATGTACATATATTACAAAGGAATATATATGTTACATTTTCTTTATTCATACATCAGTGGGCCCCTAGGTTGTTTCCATATCTTGGCTATTATGAATAATGCAATAAACATGGGAGTACAGATATTTCTTCAAGATACTGATTCTGTTTCCTTTGGAGGTATTTTAGATATTAACTCTTTATCATATATGTGATTTGCATGTATTTTCTCCCATTCTGTAGGTTGCCTTTGCATTTTGTTGATGATTTCCTTTGCTATGCTAAAGCTTTTTAATTTGATGGAGTCCCACATGTCATTTTTGCTTTTGCTGCCTGTGTTTTTGGTGTCACAGCCAAAAAATTAATGCCAATATCAAGGAGCTCTTTCCCTATGCTTTCTTCTAAGAGTTCAAACATGGAGAATATGATACTTAGCCCAGCCACTTTGTTTCAAGTCTGCCAACAAAGTTATTCTTGAAGGAATGTTGAAGCCTCGACATGCACATAAAAATAGCTTATGGAAAAAAAAAAAATCTGTGTTTCATGAAGACACGGAGAGAGTTTTCCACAGAAGAATCAGTTTATTTGTTTTTTAATAATTACTTTGGCTCAAAGTATAGGAGATAGTTTAACATTAATAAGCTAAGCGCTAACAGTGCATCCTGTTCATACTGGTTTCTGATTTTGGTGAGACAAAGATCCATATATTTGTGAAAAGGATGTTTAATTAATGAAAATAAAACCAGTGCAAATAAAACATGTACTGTCCTTTGTCCAAATACACCCTTTATTATACATTAAGTATAGATGAACCTTTCCTCTATTTGAAAATTGCAGAGTTTTTTTGTTTAACTGGGGAGAAATAAAGTGGGTATGTGTGACATATGGCATGTTCCAGAAAATGTTTCTTCAGCAGTCATCACAGCTTCCAGCTGATGTAGCAGTTTTTTTTCCTCTTCCTCAAATAGGAGACAATGTTTCATCTCTCTCCTTTTCTGAAAGTTTTGTGATAATTCATGGATACATAAATCTGACATTTGTTCACACAATTGCTCTTTGCTCTATCTGTTATTCAAAGAAAATTGCTGATGGAGAGATTATCTTTTTCTTTATGATTGAGTGACCCCCCTCTTCGGGCGTTTTCTGCTTAAATATTTATAACCAGATAGCTATGGAAGAAACGCAGGCTGTGATATGGGAGAGAACCAAGTTTAAACACCAGATCTGCCACTTACTAGATATCTGTCCTTGGAACAAGTTGTATTATCTATACTTTCAAATAATAACATCTACTGCATAGGGTTGTACTAAGGATTAAATTATATAATACGCATGAGGAATATAATAAGTATTTGACACATATTAGTCACTCAAGGAATGCTATTAGCATTAACAGTCTCGTACTGCAGACCTTGTAAGGCACATAACTTCTCACATTTTAACACTTACGAAAATGGAGTGATTGATAGAGTCTCACAATGGCTGGTAAAGGTGGCAGCCATGACATAGATGCGTTGCTTACGCAGGTAGTAATCTTGTTGCATGACGATCATCTAGCAGTGGTCCCTTGGCTTTTCAGTTAGCAAACTATTTGAGAACAAATCATACTGACTATTTGACAGAGCATCGTAAATCCTGGTTATTGTCTAAAAACCTTTCATTGATTTTTCTCTGTAAGATAAAGCGCCAGTTTCAAAATGGGTAGAATAGTTTCGATAGCTTAGAAGAAAGTTCTAGAGACAGAAATTGCAGTCTGGGCACGATTGTGTCACCAATGCTCTTAGGGGCATAGAGGACAACAGTGTGGGCAAACACGGACATCAAGCACTGCACGGAAAGTGACTTGGATCTGTACTCTGTGTTTTAGAAACATTGTATTTTGCTTTACTTTGCATTGATTCTGCATATTTTCACTTAAAAATGTACATAACTATGACACGTAATAAAATTTATTTAAATAAGTCTAAAAGATACTTAATGTTTTGAATGAGTTTAAAACAAACGTTTAGGGCGCCTGGGTGGCTCAGTTGGTTAAGCGACTGCCTTCGGCTCAGGTCATGATCCTGGAGTCCCTGGATCGAGTCCCGCATCGGGCT